AAAAATGGACTCAACTCTTGAGGGTCTATGTCATTGAGACATATTTTCAATCAATCGCATTCGGTTCGATGGATAACTTCGACCCCAAACGAATTAATTTAGTCCGAGTGCGAACGACAGTGCGCCAGACATACATAGTACGTCATTAATTTAATTTGAAGTTTGTTTTATTTGCAGAAATCGACAATAAAAACAAACCTTTTCATTTGTTTGTCGCATCAATTTTCACAAACAATCATTCTTCCATAACATTTATATAGCTTTTGATTCAGTTCATTTAATTAACCATCGCTTGATTGTTCAGATTTGTGCACCGCGCTCTATCGGTGTTGCTAGCTGGCCTCAGTTGTATGCGAAATTGACACCACTCATTCGTGTTGCTTGGTTTTTCACCGCTTTTTTTTCCCAACATTGCATTATAAATATGTACTTGAATAAACAATGAATGATGAGATGCACACCTAAACTGGACCAGTAAAAATTAGGGAGTTTTTCATTGAATTTCCATTTACAGGGTAGGATACAGGTGATGCCACAACACGGGCTTATGTTTGTTATGTTATTCTCTCTATCGAAGTGGAAGGTGAAGCAGGTAGAAGAACGTTATCAATCTGCTGCTACCTTTTTATTTTTGCCATTGTTTTCTTTGTAATTTATGGATGCTTCCACTGTTCTGTGGAGAATAATAAATTTTCTATTTTGTTGCCCATAAATATGTTGGAAATCAAGTTCTGCCTGTGAAGTCAGTCGCTCTGAATGAATTGGACTTCCATAATAAAAGTCAACAAATAAAATAGGAAGAAGTCTTTTCCCATGTCTTAATATAGTGACAGATAGAACTGCCGTGTAAAACCTGCTGATTAGATTATTCTATTTACAACTTTGCACTTGTTTTCCCGTCGTCAAAAATTGGCCGCAATATTTGCGCGACTCTCATCGCCGCTAGATGCTTTCTTCGTCTTTATTTGATTACTAAAAGTAGAATTATATTCATTGTGCGCCACCCGCATGATGTTTGTGCCTCGCAACAGTAAAAAGCACTCATCTCTCTCACTTTGTATGTATGCAAGTGAATCAACGATGTGTGATGTTCTGATCCGTTCATAAATCTGCCACCATTTGTCAGTTATTCGCTTACGTCGCACAAAGTTTACCCCGGGAAACGGGAACGCGCGCTCATCAGCGCGCGTGTGAGTGAGTGTGTGTGTGTGTCTGTCGCAAGCAAATAAAATAGTACGATAAATTCATAAATACAACTTTATACCGGCGTGTTTCAACAACTTTTGTCCCAGCTTTATTTGAATTCTTTCCGGAAACTTTTCGCAAATACTCTCTCTCTCTCTCTCTCTCTCTTCCCCATCTCCATCTCCATCTGAGTTTCGTTGTGCTGCTCATATTGAAAAAAATCATATTTCAAATATAATAATAATAAATCACAATTGGGTGAATTTTTCTTTCGTTTTTGTCCCGCTGCGTTTGTGGTCACAAGATGTTGACGTGAAAAACTTTAGCAATCAAAATATTTCCCTTTTTATGAATGCCATAATCATAAAAATCCAATTGAACAGTCTGACGTCTTTAATTGAATTAGGTCAAAAAACGAAATGAAATGAAATCGAATTGATATCTTCTCGATTGCTAAATTTAAATCAGAAATGCCAGTTTAAAAGTGTAAAACATTTGACCGATGATCAAAAAAGCTTCAACCTTAACCAAACAATAGACCGAGAGCTGAACGAGTGAAAGAATGGGGAAAGCTTCATTGACGGCATATAATCCGTCAGCAATTCATCGAACATGTGTTTGGGGATTATGGGTCGATTTAACTGGCTGCGACGCAAAACATATACATGAATGGTGATGATGATGGCGGTGGTGGTGGTGTCAAAAAGGCAAAAAACTTGGCTTGAAAATCGTTTCGCAAATTGAGTGGCAAAAAGGGGTGACAGAGTGTAATTGTGTACGTATGAAGTGAAGTTGGATTTTATGTGTGTGCTATGGTAAGTGTGTATATGCCGAATATTAAGGCAATATATCACGACATTTCGGGAGTCGAATGTGGTTGCCGTTGTATACACATCGAATTGAAAAATTTCAAAATGCCAAAAGATAAATCAATCAAACCAAAAAGTTTTGCTTGACGTTTTTGTGGTATTTCCTTCGTCATATCGATTTCGCGGCATGGTACTCTAACGATGGTTTCGGTTGCGCTGTTTCGGTTCACACCATCAACTCAGAAGCACACACACAAACACACACACAGAACGTTATTAAACAACGATTAATGAGCATTTTGCATGCTGTTAGCCCATGTGTGAATGCGAACAGTTCAATATGCCGAGTCAAAGGTCAATAAACGAAACTCATTTAACATATTTGCAGTGTTAGTGTACGAAATTCCAATGCTTCACCATTTTAAACGCATACACTCACACACACAGGGAGAGAGAGAGAGAGAGAGAGAGAGGCAGAGGAAGAGGGAAAACTGTAGAAGGCTCTATTGCTTTTGGGGCTTTCGGTTTTTATTGCTTAAAAACCTCAATGAACGGCACGAATATGAAGCTCGCGGAAAATCCCATTCAACAGTAACATAATCGTCCACTATGGTCGATGAGAGCCAGTATCATTTGCTCACCGAGAAACCGACCCATTTTAGATTTCACAATAGTTGCCATTGTTTGTCGTTATGAATGTTTGCCAATGATAAACTGCCATGAATTACGATTGAAACACGAATGATTGGCATTTCGGTTAAAATCAATAAAACCACGTTCCAGTGTATTTAGGCTGCAACAATTTTCAAACAAAACACTTGACGCACATTCCGGATTAAAGGACTAACGTTGCAACGGAGATGCAACATTAGCCACTCTTTGTTTTTTTTTTTTCAAAAGCAACACCGATATTTCATGCTATCAAAATGAGTGTAATCAATTTCGCTACGTTTCAAATGCAGTCAAGGCACAAAATGCGAACATGATTACAGAGGCGAAATGAATGGTTTTGAAATCAGGATTATTATATGGTCTAATATGGTTACTATATAGTAACGTATAGTCGGTTTTTGGTGCTTTGATATTTGAGTGTGGCTATCAATGTGGCACAGTATAACTGAACCGGCGGGAGCACAGCATGAGATGATTAGATTCCGTGTTTCTTTTGCACACAGACTGTTCGACAGTTTCAAAGGGAAAGTTTTCCATGAAAATGCGCAACAGAATTTCGGTGAGTTAATTTTAATGTTTATTATGAGATAAAGAATGTTTGAAATTCGTTGTTCACCCTCCACTCTGTTTTAGAACTTACCCGAAAAATTATTTCCAAGAATTATAAAGATTTAAAATGTTAACTTCACTTTTGATTGCTGAACTTATATCATGTTTATAGACTCATCTCCATTCGAAGTTATTTAATAGTATATTTTCCGAGGGAGGGAAATTTATTTTCAATTCCTGGAATTGAACGGCTTTCGGCGCCTATTACTTTGTTTTTTTTTTTGGCCGTAACCATGTCAACAAATCTCTCCAATACACGTTGTACATGTTTTTGGTTTTCGGCAAGACATGAACATCGGTGCTTGTCGGATGGTGTGCAATATTTAGTCGGGTATTTTGAACATTGTAGTAACTTGTTCTTAATAGCATCCCATGGGATTTCTATCGCTCACACCGATACATTCAGCTGAACACTGATTCCCGAATTTCGTTCAACACATTTTTAATACGTAATGTATTGCCTCTCATCGCTTGGAACATTTGCAATATTTCGAAATAATTTCATCGCATGCAATGATTTACAATTTCATTTTCGCTGATTTATTATGTATTTTGTTTCACTTTAAATTCGTTCATTCATTTATTTCAATTGCCACGGATGCGTTCAATCAAATTGTGTACAATCGTCACATTTCGATTCAGGCACATTCACATCGGAATTACAGCTTCCGGCCGTGCATTGAGAGGTAATGAACAAAACAAAAAATCAAGTCCGAAATCAATCACTCAGGATGTGAATCACCTCCTCATTAAATGTGCGACTCATTCGATTCAATTGATTCGAGAGTTTCACCGAAGTTTAAATGCGTATAAAAGTCTGTCGTAAGAGACAAAAGAGCGGAATTAATCGATGCGAAAAAACTGGGGATCCATTCAAAACGAAGTGAGAAGTTTTTTTTTCTTTTCCTACCCAAACCCGAACTATTTGACTTATTGTCTGATGTCGGACACATTTTTTCTGTAGTTATATCTATATCTTGAGAATGTATTTCATTTGTTTTTCCATCCCATCGAAATAGGTTCGGAAAAAGTATCCAGTTCGAAATGGTGTTATCTCACACTCACACGCCACTTTGAAACAATAGCCAAATCCACAGAACGGAAGGTGCTGAAAGATACTAAGAGATGCTCAGGACTAAGGAACCGTACGAAATGAAATCGAAAACGAAACCAAAAAGAATCGCATTTGTCGAAGTACAATGGAAATACCTATGGAGTGTATGCGCCTGTAACGTATGCAATCCAAAAATGGTAAGACTCTATGGGAGAAAATACCTCTATTTTTTATTTCAAGAGAGTGAATGCGAGATGAGAGAGAAGCAGTGAAAGAAAAAACCGGTTCAGATAGAATCACATTGAAATATGGTCGACTTTCAATTTTTCTCCGCATTGTTTATATGTGATTAAAGGTTCTCTCGATGTTCACGTGTTGCAAAGGGGAATGGCGCAGCCGATGACGCAGCCAAACATCAAGTCGTATACGGTGAGACATTGTGTACTAGTTGCACGAGGCAATGTTATGGTAATGCGTGGGCAAGTTCAATGAGGAAAAAGGAGGGGAAAACGACCGTCATGAGTAGATATATGGGAGCCGATGCCGCGTTTTTGCATTTCACTGACGCAAATACGAACAACGACAGAGGCAACGTGTGTACTGTATGTGCTCAGCTGTGTTGTTGAACGCGCGCTCGAGCTGTGATGGCATCTACGGTGCTGTAGTGGCCACTATGAATTCAGTTTAGCTGAGAGTCTATCGGATATCGGTCGTGTACATTACCGTTATAGCGCGCGAAACGACATCGACGACGAATACGACCACGACAATCTGGCAACAATTTTGTGTGTAACCGACGTCTTTGCCGTATGGCAATGCCACAGCTTATCGCGATAAATTGTTTTCGACTTATTCATTGACTATAAACACATATCTTACTGCATTTGATCACATTTGCGGCTAACGCTCTTGCAATCACAGTTCACCGAGCGGGATTTAAAGGTGCTACCAGTGAATGTATTGGAAATAAACCGACGAAAAAGCAAAATAAATCAGACATTCAAACCCGAATATCAACACAGAACTTGAACATTTGCGCGAAAGAGTAAAACTTTATTTTTCGGTGGTTTTGGTTACCAGTTGCTTCTTCGACGCAAAAAGAAATAAGCGAAAAAATCAAACAGTCAACATTCCGATAACTTTGATATATCAAATCTGTTCAAGCTGAGTGTGCGTGTCGTGTGTGTGTGTGTGTGTGGCTATGTGTGCTTGTGAACCATTATAACCGAAAGAAATATTTCGAAAACGATTCAATATTTGCATAAACGCGACGCAATTCAAAGTACAAGCGCACCGTTCGAATTGTTATTCTTGGCCGACTGAAAAAAAAAGAAGCGTGTGCTCATTTAATTACACACATATGACAACAATTTATGCACATACTATACCAAAATTTATATATGTATATTGACGTCATTTTTTTTCTTTCCCCTTGGTGCGGTTTCATTTGTTTGGCTTAAATTCATTTTGGAAGAAAATAAAATATTTCTGTTGTGTAATACATATATAAAAGAAAAACATTTATACACCGAATGAAGAAAAAAAACACACACACATACGCCGAATGTGAAGCATTTAAATTGAAATGCGTCTCCCGCTTGCTATTATTTTTTGTGTAAACAAAGCACGCATTTTCGAAATTTCACAGAAAAAGAATAAAACGACAAAACAAACACGGCATTTTTTTCTGTTCAAATTTATATTCATCGCATACAAAAGCAATGGTATTTCGTCCATTTGGGTCGCCTAGCTTAATTTTTAACGTTAAAAGTTTTATTCAAACGGTGTTAAATATTTCCATGCAGTTCGAAAATAGAATCAGTTTTATTTTTGTTCTTCGTAAATGTTGATGTGTTGTTAAATCTTCAGAAATTGTTAATCCATTTGAAATCCTCCATCAGAAAGAAAAGCGACAAGGGGAAAAAAACTGCATTTTTGTCCGTATCGAAATATTAAACCAACCGATACTCACATTCTGCGGTGATGTTTTAGTTGTGTAAATCAAGTGAGGATTTTACATGTTTCGGTCCAACTTTGGAAATTCATTTATTGTTTTTAACGAAAATCCCAGACGAAAAAGAAAAAACAACAAGACAAATTAATTTAAAAAAAAAGAAGTCAAAATTAGAATCGGCGACCAGAGTCGGAGAGTGAACGAAAAAATATTCTGTTAGTTTAGTGCTGTAGTGTGTGAATGTGAATTTTACTCAGTTTTTATTTTCTGTTGCTTTCCACACTTGAATTCGAAAGTGGAAATAATTTTGTGTCAAGATCAATAACGACTGTGTCTGAGTGCTTTGCAAAATGAAATAGTACCCAAAAAATAAAATGTTCACCAAATTAAAAAAAAAACAACACTGCGGTGCATTTGACATATAAAGAGAAAGAAGAGAGAAAAACGAGTGTAATTTATTAGAGTTAAGAGAGACGGAAAAACCAACAAACCATCACGAAGTTAAAAATTACAAGCGCCGCACAAATTATTCGTTTTTATTTTGTGCTCTCTCTCTCTCTCTCGCTCTCTCGTCGGAATTAAAGCATTTTCGCTGCGAGCAGAAAAACGCGCATCACATTCAAAAATAGGAACTACAATTGGAATCCACAAGGTAAATACATACAGTTGAATTTTGTTAGCCATGACTTTTTCTCTCTCATTCACTCCCAGATAAACAAGAAACGAGCTACTTCATCAAAATTAACAACCGACCGCTGCAAAGCATTAATTTGCTTCAAATGCAACAAACTGCAGAAAAATATGTCTTGTTTATGCGTTGGTTTTTTTTTGTTTTTGGTCGGTGTACGCTTTGCCATTCGAAATGAAAGGTTTTGCCCGTTGATGCGAATGCATTTGTTTCAAATAAACAACATTTTGCAGGTTATTGTCGTCACCGTCGTTGCTACTGCTGCTGCTGCTGTGGCTGGAGTGTTTTTCTCTTTTTCGCCAGACGATCAGTGAAAATAGCATGAAATGACATATCTTCAAATTGGATCGAATCGAATGTCTTTGACTATCACGATATTTATGGGCACTCGCCTTCACTTTATTATGTGCAATAACCGCACTATTTTATAACTTTTTGCCATTTTTCCACATTCGCTTGACCATATCACCATTTCTCTCTCCACGTGTGTGTGTCTCTCGGCGGAACGCTACGCGTTTGTTGTCTATGTGATGTAATTTATTTTTCCTCATTTTGTGAGCGCACAAAAGTCACATCGCATTCCAACTAATTTTCAGAAATAGAGAAATACACACAACCAATTCACTTGTGGTGCATTTTGAAGTGTTGTCAGCATTCGTTACCATTCGTTTGAACACGTCGCATCTCTTTTTTTCCCCATTGCATGTAGTTGTGCATATGTCGGAAAATAAGAAACAAATTCTGTGTGTTTTTTTGTCGATTTCGTTGTGGTTTCAATGGTCCCAAACGTACAAAAGTCATAAAGCAACAGTGAATGTTTGCACTCAGCACTAATTCATATATCCACACAATGACGGCGAACAGAGCATAGAAGTAAAAAAAGAGAGATACGATGTACGGTGTTCATATCTTGTCAATTTGCGGCACATTCGGAGAATGCATATTGAATCAGCGAACTCATGCTGTAATGAATGAAGGTGACGGCGAAAAGTGCACAACCACATTCAATTAATCCACCAGAGAAAAACAAATGCGTTAGGAAAATAATGAGATAGTCAAACGCTCGGCCCGTTGAGCCGAGATGAAGAGGCAGAAAAAATGAGCATAAGTGAGAGAAAGTGACGGAATAAAAGTTGGCGCGGCCGCATATTGAGACAGGAACATGACATGAATAAAATAATTTTTCCCATTTGTTTGACCACATTTTCATATGCGGCATTCAGAAAAGCCAACGAACAAAACACATCTATCCAATATATATATATATTCGCTGAATAGACTAGTTGCAATGTTTGTCTGGTTGACTTTTTTCCCTCTCTCGGTCGCCGTCTTGAAAAGTCCGTTGCTCGTAAAGGAACGAAAACGGGAGAATATAAAGTCAAAAGCATACAAAACGACAAGAATAAACAGTTTTCACGAAGACCCCAGTGCACTTCGTCTCGCTGTGTTTACTCCGGTGTGTTGCAACTCTCAGTTGGCTGGCTCGTTCGCTCGTGAGCGCTGTCAACTTGTGCGTCGTGGTATACCAAAACGCTCGAAAGAAGCATAAATTCCGAGGCAATGTCAAAACAACCGAAAAAACACTTTCCAAAACAAATAAACAACGATGCGCATTATAATGTCTGTTTTGATATTATGACATAATAAAAATAGCATTTTTTTTTCGATGGTCCGCCTCTGTATACCTACGTGCACAAAACGAACAGAAAGAAAAATAAAAGCATTTTTTTTTTGCTTTCGTAGCGAACTGATCACGCTGGATTAATTTCTTTTGCGATGTAGGTTCAAGACCCCAAAACGCTTGCGGTGTACGAATACATAAATTGCAATCGAACAAATTGACAAGAATGTTTTGTTACGCGCTCCGCCCGCATGAATCTTAGGCGTTTCCAAAAGTCCGCCAGACTGACTTTTTTTTCGCATTTAAGCTTCTTTCCGTAATTTGGTTTGGAAAAAAAACTGAGATAATTTTTTCCTATTACAACTTAAGCCGGTGGAAACGCCATTCTTTCCTCCCCATTTGCAAATCAACCGAATGCTGTGTACCAAAACATTCATTGCCATGGATATAGCTTAAAAATATTGTCTGATAGGGAAAAGCTGTAAATATGAGATTCAAAGCGAACGGGAAAAAAAGACGCACTCACAAAGTCGACGGAATACAAAAATGAGCGCAGCCAAAACCATATGGCAACTTTTTTTTGATTAATGGTTACGCTCATGATTCGAGAGTGTGTATCTGTTGTTCTAGATGCTCACTTTAAAGTAGCATCCAAATAATAATAATAAAACAATAACGATCGACATGTTGAGTGACGTAAAGTAATGAAATTAATATTCCCTAGCACAATGAAAAGCGATATTTAAATAAACATTTTATGTTTCGATTGGAAGAATGAAAAAAAAAGAAAAAATAACCGCACGAGAATTTGGTATTGGTTTCCTTGCCTTATTTTGGTTCGTCACGTAATCACGAGAGATTGAGCCGTTGCGCTCGCTCGTTCGTTCATTCGTTTCGGAACAACAGAAACCACATAATTAACCGTACATGGTATTGTTCCAAATAAACTCTCGTTGCGCTAAGTGCAAGTTTCGCATGTAATGGATCGATGGATCGGAGGGTTTTGATTCTATAAACACCTATCATAAAACTGTGTACACAAATACAACCGCGAGCAAAGCAATCGCGATACAATGAACACAAACACACACAGAGATAGATAGAGAGAGAGACTCGAGCACGAATTGAATGCAGCAGCATCAGGTTTTCGATTCATATACAATAAAATTTCGCGCGTTACATTAACCGATTGCATCTAACAACGTGCATTACCGTCATATTAAAACGCCTAACACGAAATAAGCGACGCACACACAACAGAAACAATGGGCGCAGAAGCGAGATGGAGCAACAAGAGCAAGTGAGAGGAAGATACAAGCATAGATGTAGACAAAACAGACAGCAGCAATCTATTCGAAAATGCTTCATGTTGGAAGTTTGTTAATGAAAACGGATTTTATTCCACACAATGCACGCAAATTAAGTGCACCAATTTCATGTATTAACCGACACGTAAACACTGCAAATAGACTGCCCGATGCAGACACATCATTCGGCTTTTGTCCAATGCAAACAGCAATTTTATGATCAACAATCGCATTCTCTATTCATGATTTTGACGGTGTTTGGTTGTAAATATTTGGCGTTTCAATCAAGTGGGTGCTGACCAGTCTAATGGCTTATTTGTGTGAGGCAACGTCGTTGTGGTGCTAGCAACTAATAGAGGAGCAGTAGCAGCAACTACGTGGCTCAAATTCATAATAAAATCCAAATAAATAGTACAAACTGCGAACAACACTCCGAAATGCATCGAATCAGTTGGGAGAAAGAGAGGAAATGCACATGAAATTACTGTGCTTGTTACAAGCATCTCAAACCGTTCCACAGTCGTTGCATTCTCTCTCTCTCTCTCTCTCTCTCACTTTTTTCTTCTCACTCAGCTCATTCCAAAACAAAATATGAGCTCGTGAACATTTTCATCACATTTTGAATTGGTTTGGTGTTGTTGGTTATTTTTATCTCTCGCTCTTCGCACATTCTATCGAATGCACCAAAGTAGTTCACATCAATATCAAAATGCACGGTGTTTGTTATACGTTATTTGCTTTGGTGCGCTCGCTCGCTTTCAAGCTGGCACATTCAACCGAAAGAATACACAAATATCCGTTGTTTTCTCGCACCGTCTCAGATGCCGTGATATCTTTCCGTGGAGAGAAAGAAATCGAATGCAATCGATTTATGTTTATGGGAAAACCATTTAATTTACAGTGTAAAAGTTGTGATTTGTGTGCAAGTGTCTTGTTATATGGAGTGTTCTGCAGCGCAAACAATAAATGCGTTGTACATCTGGCATTGGTGGGGTGTGCACGGGCATATGTGATCGAGCAGTGTACTATGTGTTTGAGTGTGAGCACATTGTTGGTACAAGTTGAATGCGCGTATACAAATTGTTCAATTATCGACAATTACTTGGATATACCAGTGGCGTTTGCTTCTTGCGGTTTTTTTTCCTGCTGTTGAATTATTCCTTCTTGTACCGTTGTTCGCATATATGCCAATATGCCGAAAAACCATCAATAAATGGTGAAATGTTTGGTCATGAATGAAAACTGTTATTCCAACAGAGATAGCGAAAAAAATATATCCGTCACACAATCGCAAAAAAGCCATCATTTATTTTCATTTTCAATCGTCGAAATATGTTTTATTCAGGATTGTTGGCATTTTTTTTTCTCGATACAGCCAAAGGAAAAAAATTGATGATTTCTGGTTGATTGTTCAACATAAAAATTCGTTTCCAATACACATTTATAAAATGACCGGCCATTTACTTCGAGAACTATTCGCATGCGAAAAAAGCGCAAAAAAACTGGCTGAACACAAATAATTTCCTCATTTAGATTGAAACAGGATTTTCCGCAGTTTTTTTCGTTCTCGTTCGTTCGTTTCGATTTCAATTGTGATTTATCGCTTCGGCTCAAATATAAATGGCAAACTGACGAGCGAATGGCGTCCTATTAAAAATGATGTAAGCCGCGTGCAAAACAAAAATCACAATTGATCTGCGCCATTTCCAGTCGATCGATAGCGAAAAGAACGGGCCAATTCAAGTTATGTTGCGAACGTCGAAAGAGAGAATTGGCCGCATACTTTATGAATATTGTGCAAATTTATGAGTTTACGACAAGAGAGAAAGAAAAGAAATGTGTACAAAAGCTATTCAATTAATTGCGCCAAAAGTGGGGAAATTGTATAACGAGCAGCGTTAATTCGTTGATTAATTATTATTTCACTCTCATGTCTAAAAACTCTCGTGAACGGAGGCAAAACGACGGCAACACAAAAACTGCCCAAAGTAAACGAACCATATGCGCACTTTGTATGTCCACGTCCGTCCGTCCGG